AGCGTCATAAACAAAGGGGAATGGGCCGTTGACGGTCTCTGGCAAAATTGAAAGCCTAATATACCGGTAATTTATTATATCTACAAACAATAATATGCGATATAAACTGACTGATCGAACGGTCTCGAGAAAAAGACGAAAAGACAAAAGAAAAGTAGATGTCCCTTTACACACCAATGGCAGACTGGTGAATGAGGCTACACACATATTTTTTATAGACTCACTGATGCTCGATGGGTGATGTTGTAAACATCAGCCCGGTCGCCTTTGTTTTCCATGACTTTTTCTTATACCCATTTAAGACTGGGCGGACCTGGAAACCAATGACATGTTTACAAAAAAAAAAACGGCTTTATTTGGATTTGAAAAAAAGACTGCCAGAAGAGTTAGGTTAGTTGCGCATCCTTTACAGGACGTTGCAGTACCAACCCTAACAGCCAATGGCTGTTGTGTGGTTTTTTTAATGCAATTTACCTCCAGTAGTTTGCCATTGCCTCCTAGACGGTCGGCTTTTTTGATACCACTGTCAAAACCAACGTAAGGCGCATGACCTGCAGCTGGGATCGTACCCGGCATCCCGGCATTACGAAGCGTTCACATCGACTTAGTCACAGAGCAGACTGCCAGAAGAGTAAAGACCAAAAATGTATATCTCCATCGACATCTTAGGCAGCAACAGATAATGTAGAGATGAAGATGACAACATCTAGCTATAACTGCTAGAATGTACCACTATGGCGAAATAAAGTAAGTGTTGTCAATTCTATAACAGCAAAACTTCATTGTCGAGTCTCCGCCGGATGGACTGTTTATATCAAGATTTCTGTGAATAAACCTCATCTATAATTTGTGCAGTAAGTCTGGTTGCAATAACTTTGTTTGCAATAAGTCGTCGTCTAGGAGATGAAGTTTCTAGTGAATGATCTTAGCACACATTCTTGAGATGACATAACAGGGACAACATGACACAGACTTCAAAGGACGAAACGGTTTATTGACATCTCATCACTTACATAGAATGTCCGTCCGTGTCCTAATTCACAGCTTACACGCACCACGCTGTTCAGACGCCAAGATGCTGACTTCTCACACATTCATCGACCAGAGTTCGGGGCCTTCACTTTCACATCACCTAATAGATGGATCTGGTTGTTACCACAGACTCCGCACAGACTGGCCTGGCTGGGCTTGGCTTCGATAGAACACTCTCACGTCCTCTCGCTCTGACGGTCAACACATACTTACACATACTCCTTGACCAGACTGGTGTCTGAACTTATACCCAGTGTTCGTTCCACGTGGCAACAAGTGGTTGTTCTTGGGTTCCACGTAGTGACCTGTGGTCGTCCTCTTTTAGTGCCACGGGATAACTTGTGGTCGCGTCCCCTACCTCGAAAACTCGGCTAATCCGAGTATCTAGCTTCTCTCTGTATTATTGTTAGCTTTGGGCTTTCCCCCTAACTTTCCAAACCAGGGTGGAAATATCCCCTATTACAATTTGTCTTCTTTTATTTCACTTATCATCAATCACTAACCTGTACCAATATGTCATTTTATATAAACTGCCCTGATCCAACCCCTTATAGTTTGCAAGCTAAATACGATAATTGATGATAACTGATTGCAAAAACAGGAACCTATAAGGGTGTGGCCAGACAAGAGCACAAAGCAGGAATTCAAAGAAGATAAATACCCAATAAAGCACTGGTGTCATCAGAAGCTACACGCTGGATTTATTGAGAAGGGGATCAGAATACTTATGAACTAGGTGGTTCGATGCAATATGCATTATATGTCGACTAACTAACTTCTTATTACTACATTTAAAAAAAAGTTTTGGATACTTGAGCCATTTATTGTTGTATTTATAATGGCATATAATGATTCCTTCTTTTGTGTATCTGTAGGTGCTTTATTGATATCCTACCCAAAACAGGGAAAATCTCTAGGTCACATGACAGACTAATATTTCAGGAGATGGTTAATAGGCTGCCTGCAGTCGTTGGACCTAGGCTGCACTATCTATTTTGACGTAGGTGGGTTGGGGTTAGGCCAAATCTTTATGTTTTGGGGTCGTTAAAAGCATCAGACTCCGGGAAACCACGCTCTAAAATGTTGGACGGTCTTGTGACGTCATCTAGGGGTAAGATATAACGAAAAAACCTATCGATTTCCTTTGCTTCTTGAAAAGTCCATTTATACTAGTGGCCACAGCATGTCTCCCCAAAGAATTTTGGTAAGGTATTGATGTATCATTCATTGTAAACGTTGCTGTTATTCTAGAGTACTAGTACGTCGAAAGCTGTATTAAAATAATTCATGCTAATATCAAAGTGCTAAATTATATTTTTTTTGCAAACATAAGAACACCCAGTTTATTTAACACCATCTTCACCAAGAAACTAAAAAGCCATTCATACATTCCCCCCCCCCCCCCCACCCCCTTCTAAATGGTCTCCTGTCTCTATCCAGCAGCAACACTAATGCATCCCGCCTTCTCTTCTTTTGTGTGATATTTTAATGTCATCAAGCAAGAAAGAACGTTTAGAGATGAAATGGGGTAATGCTAAACTTGCATACACACGTCATCCCCATGTGGTATGTAATTTTATGATATTTCGAAGCCCACCCTAACTTTTGCCAGGGGTCCTAAATTTAGCCGTGCCTTAAATATGGCCTAACGACAGAACAGGGTTTCTGGGACCTCTCCACGGGTGATTATCATCCGCATGGTGGCATATCGCTGGTGTGATGTCCGGGTGGGGTACAACTTACCTACCTACCTAAATTTGCCTTCGACTGATATAATTATTGCAATGGTTACAATTCACAGAATATTCAGCAGAGTTTCCTAGCTACACAGTCAATTAGCAAAATTGCAGATGTTCTTCTCGGAATGATTTCAGAAGATAATGCAAATGCAAAGGTAAATGCAAAGTTAAAAAAAAATGTTTTGTCTAGATTAATGGCATGCTTGCTTTTATCGCCATGCCGGTTTTTTTTTCCCCCCAGCTACCTAACTCACTCTTACGGCTCTGGGTGTTAAGGTAACTGATATATATTTATATTGTTTGTAGCAAAAATAAATCCTAAGCCGGCTGACACAAACTTGAACAATGAACAAATAAATAAATTTTGAATTAGGAATCGACATCATATCATTCCGGACCTTTCCATAAGCACTTCATTCCCATCTTCAGCAGCAAGCAAACATTTCCGATTTCGATGGCAAAAGTAACTATCTGATTGTATATCCGTCTTTTCTTTCCCCCTGAGTGTTTAGCGCTGGCTAGATCCCCTTGTAAATTCTTGCAGTGCCATTTTCCACGACCGTAATAATCTATCTGTCCCTCCGCACTGTTTAATTGCTCCCAAAGAGCCCTCACAACATCCAGCGGTTCACTACCAAGCGGTGTAGAAAAGGCTAGTCTATATGCCTGCTAATTTCCCAACACACCGTCATGACCGGTAAAAAATATCAAAAAGAAGGCTAACCGCCCGGGACCTCTGAAGTGATTACAATGAACAAGCAGCTAGAAAACTGAACTGAGTCTCTGGAGATGTGGGTATACAAAAGAATATGTCGACTTCCATGGAAATGAAAACAGTCCAATACAGAGGTTTTGGAAAGGCTACAAATGAACAGAGAATTGCCGTAATATGTTTGAGGTTTAGGGTTTATACAACTGATCAACATCATGGCACTCGGGTGGTAACCCATAAGTGATCAGTTGTTTTTCTTACTCAAGGCTGTCCGAAGAAGCTCAGCACAGTGGACAGGCTCTGTAGCACCGTAGAGGATCCTAAAATACTTTGGGTAGATTTTTAACTCAAAATTTTGCCCGAGCAGCGCCGTTAGGGTACTTTTTTCGATTTCCAACTGTCACAGGATTTTTTACGTCTGCAACAATGCACACGGGCGTCCGACCTCACAACCCGGAGTCCAGGTGGAATTACTAGAAGTCTATCTCCACGGAGAAACACAATTCCAGCCTTTAACAGCTATTGAACCCGGAACCTCTAGCACTCGAGGCGGACATTGTGCCTGGAAACCACTCAGCTTTCTTTACCGAAAGAAAAAAAAAGGAAACAATTGAAATACTTTGACCACATTAAAATATATAATGCACTTCTTAAGTCTATTCTGTAGGGAAAGGTCGATTGCAAGAGCGCAAGAGGTAGCCATCGATACAATCTAAGAGATCGTGTGTACAACCAGGAGAAGAGACATAGTGTTGGAGATCCGTTGAGCCAACCTTAAATGTAAAGACGGCACCTGTTTGATTGTTTGAGCATGCCTGCTAGACACGCAACAATTGTCGTCAGAACAATGAACCAGTTAATTGAGAACAGTGGTTTTTTTTTTTTTTAAAGGTAAAAGCACAAACAACACTATATTTGTCATGAGAACACTTTCAGAAAGAATGAGTGACATGATTGGAGATCTGTATTTGTGCTTTATTGATTACACTAAAGCAATTGATAAAGCAAAACATGAAAACAATTATAGGAGTTTTGAAAATCTTAAACATTGATAGTTAAGATCTCATAATATTTGAAAAAAAAAAAATAAATGATATACTAGCAACTGGTCTGGTAGTCTGGTAGTCTTAGTTTCAGCTTGATAGCAAACGGGTCACGCCATCTTTGCTTCGCTCCTGTGCCAACCAACAACACACAGAATGTTTATTAAAGTCACTTGTGGAACGATTGTCAGACGCTCAACACTCAGGGGAAGAGCGAGACAGATATACAATCAGACGGTTACCGATACCATCGGAATTGGAACTCTTCGCTTGCTTCTGAAGATGGGGACTTGGCACTTATGGGAGTGTCCCGAGTGCTGTGATGTTGATTCTTAATTGAACATGATCCAACTGTTGATTAGTCTGTGAATATACAGCGTTAGCGCCATTTGCTTTCATTGGCAAGTACACGTTTATTACTCAACCACAACAAAGTAATACAAATGGTGGCTTTTTTTTTTTTTAAACCTTCAGTTGGTAACTGAGTTCATGGACCTTTACGTTGGCTCAAACAAGGTCAGCCCCACAACGAGGATTGAAGCATCGTCAGATCATGCCATGTTCAGTCTGCCATCACTGGATTCTGGCGTGCCATCAGATGCGCTAGTTGAGAGTGAAGTAAGTCAGCCTGTGTCTTACTGGTTAAGTAGGTAAACACAATGTATGTATGTGGTTCTCCATGAGACCACGCTATGTTACGTGACATTGTGTTATTTCCTTAAACTATTAACCCTAGAAGATATAAAGACATTTTTATGAAATGCATAGTAAAACGGTCGGCTCTGCGGCTATGTCGATGTGAACGCTGCGTAATGCCGGATGCCGGGTTCGATCCCAGCTGCGGGCCATGCGCCTTGCGTTGGTGTCGACAGTGGTATCAAGAAACCGACAGTCCAGGAAGCAATGACAAATAACTCGACGTAAAAAAAATTTGCCTAGAAAAAAAATTGTAAACCAAATAAATCATGCGAAAGAATGTACAGATATACACGAGGGTGTTCAATCGGGTGTGATTTGAGTGTACAAATTCTAAAAAAAAAAAAAAAAAGAAACAAAAATCTGAGCAAATTCTTTAGTCAGTTTGTTTGCTGGGTAACGCGTTTTCTCACAAAATCTAAAGAAATGGAGAATATATATATATATATATATATATATATATATATATATATATATAAATAATGTGTGTGTAGGTGTGACAATACGCACGGTGACTTCAGAATGTCTTTCCTCAACCTACTTTTATTTGTATGTATTTTGAAGTATACAGACAAATAGGGATTTGGATACATCCTTAATCTAAATAGGATGACCACATCACACCTTTAATTCTCCTGGACCGTTGGTCATATCAGACACTAAAACTTTTTCCCAGATGTTAAGTGTTAAGGTACAGAGATAAGACTGACCAAGCAGACTTACTGACTGGAGATTTGCACACCATTTGTGGTGTCAGATAGTTATTCTCCCTGCCAGATCTTCAGGAACAGATAACAAGGGCTAATTGCCATTTTCTCCCCCTGAGGTTACCTAAACTGGATTGCCGGTCAGATCGTCAATATGGACACAGTGAGCGGAAAGTGTTAACAGAAGAATTGACACCGTCTGATTTTATTGTGATGGCAGGTGAAGTAGACTAGAGGTGTGACTTGTCTTATTTGCTCTGGTCAGATGAATTGACCAGGAGATCCTAGCGTGGGAATTCCAACAATAGTTGTACAGCCCTGACTGATAGCGAATAAACTTACCCACAAGGGAGGAGCTGTGATATCTGTGAATGAGAATGATTTTAGGCGTAATGTAGGAGGAGCTTGATAAAAGTTATAAAGGGGTGAACCCTAGGTCTGGTAAAGGAGATCCTGTCTAGCACATGCCATCTGTTGGGCTTAACCTAAGCTTGAGACAGAACTTTTGGCATCGTGGTTTCATTTTTCCAGTTCCCACATTGGACAGGGACTAGTAGGCATCCATTATTTGCCGACCGTCGAGTGTAACGACCTGCAGAAAGCAGTGAGGACGACAAACTGGAAAAGATAGGCAGGGTCTCAAGCCGAGAACTGTCCTGATGAGCTAAGTTATGTACAACTTTAATGTCATCTATAACATCATCCCAACTCTACTAGCCTAAACAAGTTCATTTTATTTTAGTCAGATTTATTAAATAAATCATGTGTGATGAGTTTCATGATAGTTGAGTAAATTGTGTACTTAGGTTCAAGTGTCTTTGTGCATATTAGTTTACTTCAGCTAACAAATATTTAAATCACTTGATGGGGGCTTTTTAGCAATGCCAGGAGAGGAGACCAGTCGCAGGGGTTAACTGAGCACATGGATTATATCACAGTGGGTGTATCCAGATATCTATCTATCCCTTCTCCTTCTCCTGTGGATACAAGTACAGCAACTTTCATTTCATGGAACGAGCCACTCGCTGTTTTCTTGGCTATCCAGGACTGTCTAGGATCAACATAGCTTAGATAATAGTCCAGTTTCTCACGTGGGTGGGCATTGTTAAGGTTCAAACCCACACCCTCACTATATCAGTGTATTTACCCACGTGGGCGCGCGACAGTAGGTATATTAGTGTACTTGTTTGGTTGTGTGAGTCTTTGTGATGGAGTCTGTGTGGTGTGAGTTTGTTTGGTGTGTGTGTGGTGTGGGTGTGAGTGTAAGTGGATGGTGTGCGTGGTGTTTTTATGGTGTCAGTGTGTGTGTGTGGTGGTTTATGGTGTGAGTGTGTGTGGTGCGTGTTGTCTGTCTCTGTGGTGTGTGTGAGAGAATGTGATTTGTGTTTGGGCCGTGTGTTCCATGTGTGTGCTTGTGTGTGCGTTAGTGAGTGTGTGTTCTGCTAATCATTATTTTTTTCTCTGTCTTCCTCTGTTCTCGCAGTCTCGCGGGGAAATATTGTCGGCAGATATAAAGATGTTATTGCTGTCTTGACTTCCTCTAATCCCATTGTGTACAAAATGTTCCATTACTATTTTTATACAGAAAGTGTGAATCGATATGTAATATATTCTCGTCAAGGCTCCCATTGCCATGAAGGCTCCCAATACCGTCAAGGCTCCCATTGCCAACAAGGCTCCCATTGCCGTCAAGGCTCCTATTGCCATCAAGGCCTCCATTGTTATCAAGGCTCCCATTGCCGTCAAGGCTCCCATTGCCGTCAAGGCTCCTATTGCCGTCAAGGCTCCCATTACCATCAAGGCTCCCATTGCCATCAAGGCTTCCATTGTTATCAAGGCTTCCATTGCCCACAAGGCTTCCATTGCCATCGTCTCCCATTGCCATCAAGGCCCCCATTGTCATAAAGGCTACATTGAAATCAAGGCTCCCATTGCTGTCAAGGCTTCCATTGCCGTCAAGGCTCCTATTGCTATGAAGGCTTCAATTGTTATCAAGGCGCCCATTGCCACCAAGGCTTCCATTGCCATCAAGGCTCCCATTGCCGTCAAGGTTCCTATCGCCGTCTAGTCAAGAAATTACCACTGGCCGCATGTTTGACTTGCCTGTGCTAGTCGATTGTTGCATTTTTGTTATCTCTATAACTGGCTATCGGCGTCTGTGGCTTATGCGTTGTGAACGCGCTTCGTAATGCCGAGGTGCCGGGTTCGATCTGAGCTGGGGCCTTAAGCCTTGCGTTCGTTTCGACAGTAGTATTGAGAAGCCGACCGTCCAAAAAGCAGTGGCAAACTAATAGACGTAAATTTGCCTAGAAGAACCACGACAGCCACACACACGCACACACACACACACACACACACACACAATTATGGGGTTGGTTCTGCAATTTTCTATAAAAGATATGCAACTCACTTTTTAACTATAACTGGCTGGATGGGTTCTTTCTGGTGAGTCAAGTAACTAAGTCATATGCTGGTATTGTGTGATGAAAATGCGTAATGATAAAAATAAATCTGCACGAAAAGCTTTGAAGAAAAAAGTGAACTATCTGGGCAACCACTAGTGTCAACAATTGCAAGACAGTGAAGATGGCCTTATGTTGAACACCCCCTAAAAATAAACCAGCTGAGAATCATCAAACTGGCCTTGAAATGGGAAATTAAGGGATTGAGGAGGCGAGCACGCCCAAAAGAAACACTAAGTCGAACGTTAGTAAGAGAGACCAAAGGTTCTGGTCTGGATTCCATCCTTGATTTTGAAATGATTGCACGTAATAGCACGAAATGGAGGAATAGACTGTGAGCCCTATGTGACATACAATGGCACAACAGGCCATTGAAAGAATGCAATGTAAAACCAAAGATTGCATAGGACAGAAAAGCATAGACAATCATCTGTGTGTCACTAGACATAAAGAGAATTGTTTAATAATTAATATTAATCCTTCATTTAGTACGATGGAGTTTAAATGAAAACCATTATAAATGGAGTTGAAATTACAGTTACTATGCCGTTGTATTTTAACCTGTCAATATTGTGATTTATTATGTCAAGAGTGTTAGGCAGGTGGCACCATCTGTGTAAATGTATCTATGAATGTAGGTCTAATATGGTTGTTCGGAAATGTATCTTTAAGCCAATTAGTGATGTGTGTGCGTAATGCGTGTGTGCGTGCGTGCATGTGTGTGTGTGTGTTATTATGTTACTAACCGTCTTCCACTCGTGCTGTTAATGATATGAAAGGAATTAACTGCTGTGCAACTGAACACATATAATTCTTCAGCACTTGTTTTTCTAAATTCTTGTCGCAGTTTGAAATGTTCCGTATGAACCCATTCGGATGGACTGCAAACAGAGTTCATGGAGGTTTGCCGGTTGTAAGGGTAAACCTCGCAAGACCAGACAAGAAAAGCTCATTTAAACAAACAACAGAGAAAGAGACATTTCGTTTTAGCAAGCCTGCAGACGTGTTCCTTAACTATAACGGTATATTTCTACTCGCAGTTTTTAAAACACCATATTGCTAATGAAAATAAACTATATATTTAGTACCCGTCTGTTTACGTATCTGACAAATCAGTCCTGAGGAGGGAGACCTAGTTTCGTCTAATCAAGCTTTGGCAACATCCTTTTCATACTGAGTTACAAATAACAAATTATTGAGCTACACACTTTTTTGTTTGACACAGAGGGTGTCAGATAAAATTTTTACAGTGTTACTATCTATAACCTCTTCATGTCGCTGTTCGTGACACATAAGGCATTCACAAGTGATCTCCATTGCTGCCTGTCTGTTCCTTTTCTGCAAGTGGTATCCCATGTCAGTTTTCATTCCTGCTTTTCCAATTCATTTGTCATTCTAAGGGTTTCTATAGGTCGTCCACGTCTCCTTTTCCAATCTGCTTTCCACCGGAGAGGTTTTTTTTTTTTTTGGCCAGAGTGTCACAAGAACATGTCCAAGCCACCTCCATCGTTTTAATTTGATAACATTTGCCAGTGATGCACATTTTGTTTTCTTCCTCAGTTCTGTATTTGTGATCTTGTCTGGCGAAAATATTACTAAAAATCTCCTTAAACATTTATTTTGGAAAGTCCCAAGTTTATGTGTAATTCCCGCTATCATTTTTCAACATTTACTGTTGTATAAATTTATTCCTAAAATGTTGTTCTTCTATATTCTGAGTTGTGTCTTAAACTAAATTTCTGTAATTTCTTGATTTGCTTTGTTCATTTTACTTCCAAGGTATGAATTCTTCAACTTCCTCTATTTCTTCATCATTTAAGATAATTTGACTTTCTGTTTTGTAATTATTTCTCATTACTTTAGTTTTACTGGTGTTTATTTGGAGTCATATCTTAAGGGCTGCTGCTGAAAGTCTTTCAGTGTTTTCTTGGGCGTCCACATTAGGGCTTGATATAAGGCTGATGTTATCTGCATAGTCCAAGTCGTCTAAAACAGAGGTGAGTGACCATCTTTGGCCTCCTTTTCTGTCTCGTGTAACTTCCTTCATCAGCCAGTCAATGCCCAAATTGAACAAAAAGTGGGGATATTATGCATCCCTGTCTGACTCCTGTGTTGACAAAGAAAATTTCTGTTGCATGATTATCGCAAGCTACCTTGCATTAGAACTCTAAGTAAATGTCTTTGATCAAATTTAATATTTTCGGTGATACACCATTATTCTTGTAAGAATTATCCGGCTAAAGATGTTACTAGTTACTTAATATAATACCTCTTCAGTTGTTATAGTTTCCTAAATTCCCTACTTTGGTATTTTAATAATAATAATACCTTTTTTTTCCACTCCTGTGGGATTTATCCGTTGTTCCAGATTTCTTGAAAAATCTTACACAATAGTTTTGGCGTTTAAATGTCCTCCACTTTCAGCATTTCTGGGCAGATTCCATCACACCCAGGTGCTCTGTTAACATTTTAAGCTCTAATCGCTTCCCTAACCTCTGCCTCTAGGCTTATCAGTACGTCTTTCTGTGACTCAGGTTTATCAGCAAGTACAGGTGGGTCTGGACAGTTAAGTCATATCTGGAGCATGCTCTCTGCCTGGGTGGGTTTGCAAAAGAATGTTATCAATAATGTAGCTGGAACATATCATGCTAAAGAAACTGCAGCATCATAAGGCCAGTGCGTTTACTGTCCTGCTGTCGCAGTTTCTTTCATCACGCCATAAACATAATTTAGAATCATATACTGCTTGTGATGGTGAATAGTTTAGTATAAAGAAGATGTGGTAAAGACTTTTTGGAATTAAATGGACAGTGCAATAGAACAGATATAGAATCCACATACAGAAAGACGAATTCAACGGGGTGTGTCTAGAGGTTATGGAAGATATTTAACATTGATGTGGAAACATATGTGGACTTTTAATCGGATAGCAATTGGTACCATGTCAACACGTTGTTTTTTTTTTTTTTTTTTAAAAAGGAACGAAGCGCATGTGGGGAAGTGGCGTGTGCAGTGATATCAGTTCTTGATTGATTAATTCATTCATTGAAAGTTAAGTGATTGTTCGTGTGTGTAGTTAGGATGTGATATTGATTCAATTTGTTTGGGGTCAGAACTCGCGTGTGACCAGATCAACCCATGATCCGATTCGTCTTCTTATTTACGTCCACTTTTACCGCTTCGGGTGTCGAGGGAGATATAAGGTTCTGCTTCGTGATTTTCTGGCTGCTTCGATAATAGACACATTGTGGTGCCGAGTTTCTATGATGTTATCTTCCCATTATGTTCTTAGTGTACCTTTTGCTCTCCGTCCCTATCCTCCTCTAGTGTATGCGCCTTGCATGGTTTAGCATCAGAAGGCATTCTCTCCAACAAAACTAGTCAACAAAACGAAGAAAGTGATTGTGACACTTCATGTTTTTCACGGCAAATAAGAAGAGCATTTCAATGAAGGAACAAATATACGTTTCAGGGAACATAAAAGAGTTCACCATTTTAAATAAATGATCATTTATATATATATATATATATATATATATATATATATATATATATATATATATATATATATATATATATATATATATGGTAAATTTTACCCTGGTGTCCCAATTTACCCATCGCTACATACTAGCTCGGTTCTGATTGGACAACCTACTGACCGTCTCACTCAGACTTTGACACAAGGTCACAGGGATATTCCGCACTCGCGCTAATACCTCGTGTTGTATATTTCACCATGCCAGAGATTGTAACACTTCTAAAACATTTAGATACTGGGTCTAACACACAAATCCTCCATAGAGAGTAACAAATCCTATGTTACAGGCCGTCTCTTTCTCAGAAATAAAAACGTAAATGCAAGATGACAACAGACTGCGACAGCCATAACCTAAGCCACGATAGACTAGTATAACCAATGTATCAATAGAGTTGACATATATATATATATATATATATATATATATATATATATATATATATATATATATATATATATATATATATATATATATAATTGACGTTTATAGCATGTTTTTTAATTTCTTAACATAATTTAGCGTCAGTCGACGAAAATATCTACCACATGATAATAAAGGTGGTGAAACTGCCAGATGGGGCCTCCATTATCCGAATGTCCGGCTGTGTACTCATCGCGGCCAAGGTTTCCAGCAAACAGACAACAGTCCTGAGAATTACCAGCCCAGATAACCTGAGATTAGTGGTCAAGGCCAAGTACACAAACGCTATCAGTTACTTTGACGGGGTAAGCCATTTGCGTCTCCGGTCATCTGCCAACTGTCTCTTCATTTCTGTCAGAAACCTCTCTTTCCGAGAAGTAAAAACTTAGTTATGTATCCTTTTCAGGACGTTGCAGAATCACCTCCAGCATTTTGTTGGCTTGTGTGGTTTTTCTAGCCAATTACGTCAAATATCTTGCCATTCCTACTAGACGGTCGGCTCTCAGTACTACTGTCGAAGCCAAAGTATGACAAACTGTCTGCAGTTGAGATCGAACCCGGTATTACGAGGACCGAAAAGTAAAGTTAGCAACAACAAACAAACTCAGTCAAGAGCCACTTTTACATCCCTGGCGCATCAGGTATTTGATGCTAGACTATGATGCTGGGATATATGTGGAAAACACCAGGCCATTTGGCTCCCATTTGTAACCACCCAGCAGCCACTTTTAGTCTATCCAGAAAAGAAATTGAAACCAAGACCCTCGGACCGGCAGATTGAGGTTCAGCCACTGGGGCAACACAAGTTCCCCCCTCCCCCCCCCCCCCCCCCCCCCCCCGCTCACTAGATTCCAGGGTCCCAATTTTGTGGGGAAGGGGATGAAATATGGGAGGGGGGGTGAAATATGGGGGGGGGGGTGAAATATGGGGGGGGGTGGTGAAATATGGGGGGGGGGGGGGTGAAATATAGCTTCACCACCATCTATTAAGCATGTTGTGAAAGTCGACTAACCGGGCCTGTTTGTTTTCAAAGTCTCGTGAAACCCCTGAAGGCTGAGGAACGAATGAGTATACAGATGGCGCACGGAAAGAAGAAAAAGAGGAGGTGGCACCGCTCATTAAGGGAAGATAACAACCCATTTTTCCCCAATGAGTGAACCAGTCCTTATCATCAGTCATCGGTCCGCTTTCGGTGCATTGGTGCACGCCCACATATTCAGCACAATATCCTAATGATATATCAATTGCACTGTATTCAACAAAATCCGTACGCGGATCACCATTTTTTTGCCTAGGGTTACAGGTATAAATACAGTAAACGTTTCCAGATATAACAAATATTAAACATGGTATTTACAAACATCCACACAATCTCCAGACTGGTCAGAACGAAGAAAAAATTTGAAAGCCGATAGTTATTTCCAGTGCTTGTGCATTGTTATCATCGATTCAGCGGGTCAGCTGTTAGTTAACTCCTACGGCATATGATGTAAATTATAGGCACTATGGTCAGAGGTAGTTAAAATTATAATCTGAATACAGAATTTTTTTTAACGAGTGTCTCAGATATAGGAGACAAAAAACTTCCAGCGACTCGCTGCAGCACTCGGTTGGTGTTCGAAACCGGGCGGTTCCTAGGGTTCACCCAGCCTCTAGGAAATGGGTACCGGAGTTGACACTCTTGGGTTAATGGAGGAACGTCTCTGTAGCTACAGAGTTACGTGCTTATGGCGACACAGGCGGACAATTCTTATCAGCTGTCCGTACTGGTGGCAGAGCACTTATGGTTTATAACCGTGTGAAATGACGCTGGTTCTTATCTCCCGACTTTACCCTTAACCCTTTTCTAGATTTAACCTCTTTGTAGCTTTCAATCTACACAATGACTAAGAAACTTAAGCCGAGACAGCAGGTACGCAAGGAGTTACACCTGATGCAGGTTGCAAACCAGGTTTCCCGCGCATTTTGTGTCGACTGCTCTAAAAAATGTAGTTCCAGCTGTTCATGACTGATTCTTTATACGTGTGCAAGATTTGTTTCTTTTTTACGCCCAGTAATAA